TGTTGAAACTTAATTGGGATTTTAGAGATTGTTAGTAATTAGTCATTACACTGATCACACACACAGTCAAACAGTTTGATATTTTTTTTAATGTATACAAATATTGTAAATATCAAGCTCAGCTCGCAGCTGATTCGCTTTGCAACTGGAAGCTTAAGTCCGTCAGAAGTGTAAAAAAAAAAGAGACAAAGTGCTTACATGAGTGTGCAAAAATAAATAGTTAAATATAGAAAAATGCTGACTCCTCAGTAGGAAATATGAAGGTATCAGGAGTGAGCTGTCAGAGAGTGGAACAACAGTGAAAATAATAAAATCATGAATCATGAAAGTTACATCTTTGTTTAATCTGTAAAAATGTAAAAACGTCAGGAGGTCCGGACTAATCCCTGCCAGGGACTTCCTGTCGGGCCCGTCCCCATCGTCCCCATCGTCCCCACCGTCCCCCTTTTTGTACTTGACAACACACATTAGTTTGAGTGCCTCGAGCCTGTGAGCCTGAGCGATGGCGGCAGGCAGATTGCGTTACCTTTGTACAGAGCCAAGCTGCAGCCTTACCGGCTTCTAGCCTCTGTGCTCCGCGGACGCCGTCGCTGGCTCTCACCTTCTCGGGGGAAGGGTCGGCGACAGCTGCCCGGCGCACCGACAAGTCAACGACTCTGTCTGACTCTGGCCTCGAGCTAGAAAGAGCCCGTCGCGTGTTACCTGGCCTCGCTCTTGGTGTGAGAGGATGCTAATTGGCAACGAGGCGCCAGTCTCCCCCCCCTCCCCCTACCCTCCCCTCCCCTCTGGCGTCGGTCACGGCCAGGAGAGGTGGCATTAAGCCTGGCCTCCGATGGCTCCAGACTGCGTGGGTCCAAAGGGGACCAGGAGGCACGATCCGCCTGTGTGGAGGTCCCTGAAGTACACACCTGGCCTTGATTTTAACACTTGAATGGAAAAGCCCGCCCGGGGACCAGCACAGGGAAGTCGTTTCTTTTCGGAAATAAAGAGGGAGAATTATTTTCAATTTAAAAAGTGGCACAGAGAAAAAGTCCTTTCCAGTGTTTTTTGTGCAGAGTTCCCTCCTGGCTGATTGGAGTTCACCCAATATGTGTGTTTGTGTGTGTGTGTGTGTGTGTGTCTCTCCTGGCTCCCGCCTGCCCTCCGTCTGCCTCCCCTGGATTGGAGTCCTGTCGCCTTCCCAGAGAAGGGCCGCTCGACCCGGGTGGATATTCTTTCCCTCACATCTGCTACGAATTAACCGGAGCCATTGAAAGGCTCCTTTATGGAGCCGTCAGCAGCCCTTTTGACTGCTTTCTATTAAGACACATGCACACTTTGTTCACGCACACATGTGGGCACATACAGCGTGCACAGGTTTGTGCTCCCTGCTTACTGTTGAATTGCTATTTACGTTTAAGAAAGTGTTGTCTTTTTTCCCCTCTTTCTCTGCATATAATCACATTTGAGACACACACCACACAAACGCACACCTCCACAGTCTTACTCAGACAAAAACTCTACACTTAAATCAGCCCCAACAGCTGCGGCCTTCTTTTCGTTTTTCTTTTTTGTTATTTTAAATGAATCACCCGTGCATGGTGGAGCAGTGCAGGGGTGGTTATTGGGCCATTACACCCTTTAATCTATTTATTGCTGACATCCCCCTCACCGGGCTTATGCACACTCCACAGAAACATGAGCCGTGACAGCAGCGAGGCCATCGGGTAACTCAAGATGGATCTGATTGGGAGAGAACCTCTACATTTTTGTAAATATATGCACATGCAATATATTTTGCTGATAGAAGCCAATTAAATGCTTTAGAAACTGGAGGTTTTTTTTTCTGTTTGCCAAAAAGAGACAGGCGTCACTGGGAGAGAAGTGGAGGGAATCGGAAAGAGAATCTGCTAAAGGATTAGTGAGCCTGTGTATATTCTACCGGGGCAATCAAGAGACCGGGAGGCAGGTGGGTGGGTGAGTGAGTGAGTGGATGAGTGAGTGGGTGAGTGGGTGAGTGGGAGGGAGGAGCCGGTCGGGAGGTGATCAGAGGGCAGCTGAACCTGACTGGGCCTAAAGTTGAGTATCACGGAACGCCATCGAATGAATGAAGGAGCGAAGAGCCTGGGCGCTTTAAGGAGGCAACAAGGAAACTGAACGAACCGCAGCGCTCTTGTCTCAGGTGCATGTTTTCGCTCAGAGAACTCTGATTTTGGCATTTTTCTGTGAAAAATCCACCCGCCACCAGTGAGGAGGAAGCCCATCGGCTCGCTATCATCCACCGCTCTGCTTCACAAAGGATCCGCAGACACGTATCCAACATTTGGGATCACCGGCTTGACTGAACGGTAAGATGGAGCCTCGGCGTTCATGAAAAGGCCTCGCGCCCCCCTCCCCCCCTTGTTAGTCGGCCTGCCTTTCATCTCCCCCCGTAGCGCTCATCCAATTGTTGCCACATCTGGATTCCCGAGTTCAAAGAAATCCCTGCGTCATTTTGAGGCTCTTCCGTCTGGTCATTTTTCACATCGCCTTTAACATGTTTCCCCCTTTGTGCCTTGATTTGAATCTGGAATTATTTTTAAAAAGAAGGAAGACGTGAACCGTGCAGTCGGTTGCAGGCAGAGAGGACGTGTGAGTGATCCGTAAACGGCGCTGTTTGGTCCGCAGGAAGATTCAAACCGTTTCAGAGGAACGCTCAAGGCGCTCGAGTGTCCCGGGGGGGGGGGGAAGCCATCCTCAGAACTCCTGCGTTTCCCCACTCCCTCGCTTTCCTCCGCTTTTGGTTACATGATCAAAGGGAGAGGACGTACATGAGTGGAGAAAACTGTGTGAGGGGGGGGGGGGGGGGAAGCTCTGTTTTGTGAATAATGCATTACTGATCATTTCAGCCCGCACTTAGAAGCGGAAATAGATTTAGGGCACGTCGCCTCTGCGGTAACATTTTCATTTGGCGCTCAAATGTCAGGTCACCTGTCTGTGTTGTGTTCCTGTCTCTTTAGCCCCGCCCCTTGTCCTCATTTTCTCTGTGTGTTTACCTGGTAGGAGACTGACTTGAGCTCGTTCTGTACCGTCAAACCGTGCCAGCGGGCCGGAGGGCCTCAGTACAACCTCACCTCAAGCCGGAGACCTGCTCCACATCTGGGGGAGACATTCGTTAAGATTCCTCGAGCCACGTGAAAGTCATCGTCTCACCGCCGCTTGTGAAATAGTCACGAAAGGCAAACTATTGGTACGCCGATTTCAAGAGAAAATAAACTGTAAAAAGGACCATTCCAAGAAACGTCTTATTCTGAATGGTCGAAACGCTGTCATAAGTCATCACACTTAATAAAAAACATTTTCCTGTGAGAGTTGCGTTGATGAGCGGCGGAAACCACACGGCGCCGCCTGTCCTTCAGCGGCGTCCCCTCACGGACGCGCGGCACATGAGTGAGAAACGCTTGTTCGCTCCCTGCCAGATGCCCTCTGCACCGACTTGGACCAGAAGTAAATATTTGCAGGGTGGGCCGCTCTGCTTTAATAAACACACACACACACACACACACACTGGCGTGTGCACCGCTGCTGTGAGTTTGCTCAGGGTTCAAAGATTATTCCACGCATGCATGCGTTTGCTGGTTTTAGGGGGGAGGCCCCTGCTGCTCCCGCGCCGACCCCTCGGGGTCAGGCCTCCGCCACGTGACGGTGGAGGAAACCCAAAACCCAATAAGTGTACGATACCTCGTCAAACCACAGCCACCTGCCACGAGGAGTCAAACGCGGCGAGATAAGCTGCCAACGACACCGACACATCGTCACCTTTTCAAGTTCACGTGCTCGATCTGTGTGCAGAGTTTCTTGGGTTTTTTTACACATCCCGGCAGCTTTAGAGCAACGTATCGGTTATTGTTCGCGTCCACCTGACGGATGTCAATCCAGTCAACCGTCCCACGTCAGCTCGGCTTTTAGAACCCAGCAACTCCTGAGGGAAACGTCTGGCTCTTCCAGAGCAGAAAGGAATCCATTGTGCTCACAGGGGAGTCTCCAACTAGGTGTTTTCTGTTGTTTGGTGCGACGCCGGTAGTGTAAAGCGAGATTTCAGAGCCTCCTGCAGTCCAAAAAAAAAAAAAAAAGCACCGATGTTGAGCTGAAACACGACACAAAGCTTTGTGAAGCCGAGAGGAGACTCAACAAGTGATGCTCTTCACTTTGTCACTCTGTCTGTAGCTGAATCCGCTTCATGTGCTCTCAATTTCTAAACCAAGAACACACAAAATGGAAGAACTATTTACAGACTACACTCATGTGAAAATATTGATTGTATGGAGAACACGCAGATGCTAGTTGACCTGACATATGTTTTCCAGTCTTAAGTGAACTGGCAGTAGTTTGGTGATTAACGCCCGTCTCAGCGCTTCATTGGGTGGGATTGAAACGTGACGCTCGGCGGGTCCCCGATAAATCCACCTGACTTCTGCAAGTTAATACGTCGCCGCTTTACGGTTTTATTCAGGTTAACGAGGAGTTCTAGAAGGTGAAGCGCCGAGGTCGTTGGAAGTTCACTCGAGTAACGCAAGTGAGTTCAAGTCAAATGCAAAGTTTGCTTTGGCTCCATTTCCCGAAACCGTCCGTCACGTTGATTCATTAAAAGTCAGAAACCACAACAAAGGCTGCAGACTTCCCTCCAACGCCTGCGTGCACGTAACCGGCGTCCTCACTCCACCGCGCTCCTCGCGGCTCAGGAACACTGTGTCACAAGATGCGTTTCCAACTGAATGGAGATCAATATTCTCTAAAATTCTAAATAAAGTGGATTAACTCAATTACCACAGATGTGTTCATGGCAAAGGGCCCAGGTTGCTCCTCCTTGCTGAATGACGGAGCGCACTTCCATTACACGGGGAACCGTCTCCATTAAAAGAAGTTTCTGAGAAAAGGGTCCTTGTAAGAGACAGAGACACGGTTTGATGTTTTATTAAAAAGTAACACCGTTGTCCTCCACCATCACACGTTTCTCACAAGAAGAAAACGGGAAGAACTTCTCTCTTCGTCCATTAGACTTTATTGGAAATTCTTTACAAGTGAATCCTCCTAACCTGCCCAGAAACCCAGCTTTAGAAACTCTATGTATATAAAAAAAAAAGAAAAAGTGTAAAAGACTGAGTTCCTCAAAGAACAAAGAAAGCATCTACAGACGGGTCAACTTGAGGGCAGTGACCTTGTGTTTGTTGTTGAAATGTAAGACAATTAGAGCATCATTTAAACGAGTGTTTAATCGTGTCAGGAACAAAGAAGGGGGAGGGGGGGGGGTCAGAAAGGTCACGATGAGCCGCACTAGAACACAGAAAGAGGTCAAACCGCGTCAGTGTATACGAAGACAACACACGGCCTCCGCACAAACTACAAAAGCTGCTGCTGCTGCTGCTGCTCCTCGCAATGGAGCTCCCTCCATCACCGAACCACACGCTGGGACCAAAGTGTTGTGAGAGCGCCCCCTGGTGGCCGAACGGGCGCGACTCGCTAAATCCATTCGAATGGGACAAAGCGCAGACGCGAGCAAAGGATCTCTAGCGGGACGATGGAAGGTAACAACGCCAGATATGTTCTTCATGGACTGGGGGACACCCGGTGAATCAAACCTTGCCATTTATTGGATGTGATTAAGAACAAGTTATCATTTACAATACCAAATAAAATGTGCAAAAAATATCAAATATTCAAAAATGCCCATTTTCATAACAAATGTCACATTTGTCGATTTAAACACTCTTTACAAAATGTTTATGCACATCATTTCCATAAAGTCTGGTCCTGGAGCTGCTGGCATAGTAGGTGCACGTTACACAGGAGTGTGAACTGATGGGTCGCTGAGGTACCGGTTCTTTTAAAGTGGCGGGGGCCACTGCGGGGGGGGGAGGGGCCGCTGGAACCAGACTCGGGAGTCCAATCCGGGTTTTAGAAAACCGCTCGGCACCGAGAGCCGAAAAACAAACGCGTGTTTTAGCACCAAGTCGACCACATGCGTGACCTGAATCGCCGACCAGGCTTTTGACACTAAATCTGAACCTGGGCTGAAAAATAATGATCTAAAACTAGTAAAAGAACTCCTACGTGTTTAACTATAGACTGGCATTTGACCAAAGGGAATCTTGGTGTCAAGATGCTTAGTAGCAAAGAGCGATTTACAGGTGACAGGAGAAATATTATAGTTATCAGAGCCGTTTTTAAACAAAGAAAAGCTTCCGAGGGTTTGGGCTTTAAATTGTGTTAACCTTTGTGTGGGATCAGAGTCTTAAGAGCTACAACGACCCATCCGTTGTCTCATTTAAAAAATAAAAAATAAATCACTAATATTAAACATGTTACAAATATAAATTGGTTTCTTTGTTTTTCAAAATATAAACAGTAATTCAAAAAAAAATGTCCATCTGAGGATTAAGTCCCGTTGAAGAGGAGGAAGAAGAAGAGGAGGAGATTGTGGGTCCATGATCATTTTTAGAAGAGCGGGACAGACGTTTTAAAGCAAAGACACGACCCCAACAGAAGAAGAAGAAAAAGCACCGTGGACTTTATGAGCGTTTCTGTCGCTTGGAATGTCGCTGCTGGCTGGACCGCACCTCGCCGCTGCTCGCCCTGCCGGCGTCGTGGCCCCGCCCCCCCCGCTGACGAGTTCTCCGCGTGTCCCGTTCGCCATCACTATCCTGCTCCCTGTAATCCTTCCTGCCTGAGGTGGTAGAGGTCCTCTTACTTCTCCTCCTGCCATCATCACAATCATCTTCCTCATCATCATCCTCCTCCTCTTCACTCTCACTCTCCGGTTCCCTCCGTCCTCGAACTTCTCTGGTTTTCTTTCTGCTCGATTTGCCATTCTGCATTTTCTTCTTTGGCGGCGCCTCCTCCTCATCCTTCTCCTCCCCTTCATCCTCCTCAGATGTTGCAGGCGCTTGGCTGATGCGTTTGCGTGATCTCCTGCGGAGGTACCCCAGGCTGGGCAGCTGCTTCTGCAGCAGCTCGGTGAAGGTCTGCTCGGTCTTGACCATGCAGGAGAGCACGGTGCTGCCCTGCTGGTTGTACTCCTCCGCGTTGGAGAAGACAAGTTTCAGGTCCTCCAGGAAGTCCTGGCCGTGACGGTACGAGCCCTGGCGGAATTTACCCAGCATGGTGTGGAAGTCCATGGGCTGGGAGATGATGTCCAGATAGTCCTCGGCCTCCTCCGTCGACACGGGCTCCCTGTGGGGGGGGAGAGATGAGCCCATCATGATTCATGGGATCTGGAGTCATTCGAGCAGAACGATGCGTCTCGTGTCGACGGCAAACTCAAGAGCGTAACGCAGAGAGTAATTTAGGGTTTCGTTCACAGCTCTAAAGAGACAAACATCTGCAGCATCTGGAAATGTCTAAGCAGCAGCTCAGTAATTGTAACTCCATATTAGCGAAAAAAAGATTTATGGACGCCATGTTTTTTTAATAGATGTATTGCAGTCACCTTAAAAGGACCGTGAATATTCTGTGAATATTGTAGTCACACTGACGCTGTAAACACATGAGTCCTCTGCAGCTCCGTAGTAAACCTCACCTGAAAGGCCAGCTGTAGCGGTACTTCATCAGTTTCTTGAGGATTTCCTCGCACCTCTCCAGCTCCAGCGCCTGCCGCCGCACTCCAGTTTGGGAACTCTGTCGCACCTGCGGGAATCACACACCAAACAACTTATTTATTCTGAAATATGGATCAACGTCTTCCTTCCTTCGACATCCTGCTGGTGTCTTACCAGTTCGTCGATGTCAGCCGGGCTGCTGGGGCCGGTCTTCTGTTTGCTGCTCTGGCTACTTGAAGGCGGCTGCTTCTTGGGTTTACTTTTTGAAGGTTTCTGCCGAGATGAAGACTTCAAATTTTTCTTCCTTGGTCGCACTGTGAAATAATGACAGGCGATCAAGACAAGGAGGTATTAATAAAAAAAATACAACAATGTTTCACACAACAGACAGCACTTTTTTTTAGATATTGTTCTAAAAAAATAAATTAAAAAAACAGGGATGTTTGATGAATAATTAACACTCAAGTATTTGCGAAAGTTATACAATACTGTGAGCGGACAAAGTCTCACGCTAGCAATGAGTTTCGCGCATCGCGATCCTCGTCAACTGTTGAGCGCTGATGCATAAAACCTCTTGAATGGTTATCCTTGAAACGACACAGGGGATCATCCCGTCACATACTCTGAGGGAAGCCGGAGTGAGACACGACCTGAGCGGCGCTACATGCCGACACGCAGACAATAGAGACGGGACCAAAGCGCTCCGTCAGCATTCCTCTCATTCCCAACCGTCAGCACCAAGGAGCCCCACTTTCCACACGCCGACAAATCTGTAACGCGATTTATTTGTTGCATTCGCTTTGTCGAGTGCCGTAGATTTGATACAAAGCTTCATGCATTGACGGTGCTCAGCTTGAAGAAGATCCATAGAAGTCAGAAGGCACGTTAACTTTTTCAGGCTGGAAGTCTTGAGAAGAGCCCTAACCCTAACCCTGGAGAAGCATTTGATCAAATGTGGACTTTTTTCGCTAATACTCACAGCTGTGACCCATTGCTTTGTAGTCATTCTCCTCCTCCTCATCCTCTTCCTCCTCCGCTTCCTCAGAGTCCTCCTGTTCAGACTCCTCGTCCTCTTCCTCCTCTTCTTCCTCATCTGTGTCTTGGTTGTAGTTCCTGCAATAGTGAGGTCAAAAATCAGCCAGTTTGCTTCAAGCAAATAGTCGGACTGTTGCGGTACAGTCAAGAGTACAAACTAGGACGGGTCGGTATACGAGTTGAATGTTTACTCGAAAAGAAAAATACTCTCATACCGGCAGAATTGTACAAAATCATGTGTGTTGGGGGGGGTGAGGCATACCTGGAACGGGAGCCGCGCCTGGCCACGGTGGGCTGGCAGGCGGGACACAGCCATTCCCCGGTGGGGATGCCGTACAGCGCCGGCCGCAGGCAGAACAGGTGGAAGGCCTTGTTGCACTCGTCACACAGGATGAGCTTCTCGTCGTCGCCTGGAAGCGATAATACATACATCTTAGCGCCGCGCCCTTCTTTTAATTCAGCCTGCCAATCATTTTGTTACCATCTTCCCTTCCTAAACGGGCCAACAAGTGTGCGCAGTTGTGCAGGGAAACAAGTGGTTTTATTTATTTGTCATGGCACTGCTGCAGGTTCACCTGTTGGCCTGCGCAGCTGGCTGCTCTGCATGTAGACCTGCCTGACATTACTAGTCTGTCCTGCTCTGAGCCTGCCGCTGCTGCTGCCCTGTCTGGTTCTGGGTTTAGACTCAGTCAGCTTCAGCACAGACAGGCTGTGCCTGAGCACTAGAACGGGAGCAGAAGGGGAGTAGTGGAGCACTGCAACTCAATAACCAGGCACACCTATTAAGTAAGGACCGACTGTTTCTTTGTGAGGAAAAACAGAACAGAATTAGACAGTAGGGGGCGCTGTAGCTCGGTTTGAGTAGTTTCTTTGAACAAGGAAAGCAGTGTTGTAACAAAATTCATTTGATTCCCCATCGAAGGTGTAATGCTCTCATTGGCTGCAAACAACCCATGATGCAGATTTTATTGACAGCGGACTCCCTCCTTTGGAGAAAAGGGGGTGCGACGGCGGCATCAACCAGCCCTACCTTTCCTGCGACAGACTTTGCAGCGAGCATTCTCGGCGGACATGTCCCACTTAATGCAAGCGTCCAACATCCCCAGCAGGACGTGCATGCGGGAAAAGGTCTGCGCCTCTCGGAGGGCGGTCTTCCACTTCTCTACTGCCGTCGCCACCTGGGAAGATAAACAGATTTATTTTAACGATCAGGTGAAGTAGCGTTAGCTGTGCTGTCGGTGGGCTTCACGAGCGAAGCAGCGGCCTCTACGTGGCCATAGCTCAAACAACGAAATGCTATTATCACCGGTGCCACACATATCCCTTAGAATTAGGACCATGAGAGACTTTTTAAGACACCATGTTACAAAATGAACACCGCCATGGTTGCGCTTACTCGGGCCTCTGCTGCTAGTTTCTTCTCGTCGTCCACCTCTTCGGCCTTGCTGCTCTCCACCCCGCCGTGCTTCCTCTTCTTTTTCTGCTTTGGGGCCATGAAGCCCTGCAGGAACTTCTTGATGACACAGGCCTGAATGGTGATGATGCACTCGCCAAAGTCTTTCAAGTTCTCCATGTCTTTCAACTGTGAAAGGTAGATGAAAAAACAATCACAATATTGTGTGGACAAAATGCAAAACACAGATATGCCAAATAGGATCAAATCAGTGAAATTTCACGTTATAGTGACAATATAACAAAACTTGAGGTCCTACAGAATCAAACCGTAGGATGAAGAGTCTTCACTCACCTCCTCTGCGATGTCTACGTTGTCATCCAGGTATCCCAGGCCTCCCTTGTGGAGTCGCGATGCGACCTCTATGATGTCACTACGCAGGAATTTGAGCAGCTCTGTGTAGCCATCGCAGGTCCTCAGAGACATTTTGGCCTTCCGGGTCAGATGGACAGAGTGGAGGATGTCCTGGTACCTGAAACAGAGGAGAAAACTTTATATATTCTCCATCAGTGCTGCTACTCCTTTTCACCATCCTTTTGGAGATGCTCCTGTGGTTCTGGATTCACTTTCATTATAACTTAACAAGCTTTCCACTGCTAGTAATAACAACACAGCAAACGATAATTTCACGATAAAAAAAAGCTACGGCTGGAAGAAAATGACATTGACAAGAGCACCCACCTGCTTTGTATCTTTGCCTTCAGTTCGCTCTCTCTAACCCCGTGAGGGTGAAGACTCTCAACCAGCTCCTCCAGCTCAGCCGCGTTGTCACAAATGAACCTGTATTCAAAAGGCAGAATATTAGAATGAAAGATTGCTTCGTAAAAGAAAAAAAAAGGATGAAATTAAAGCGAAGACAGAAACAATGCTCCAACCAGAGATTCTGTCCTTGGTTGGGAATAGTAGTTTCTTTGCAGATGTCTGCTGGCGCCCCCTGGTGGGCTCCCTCACTCATGGCACCGTCGATGCTGCCATCATCCATCTCAGCTCCTACAACACAAACAGTCATTCATTTTAAAATAAAACCCACATGACCAAGCAAATTAGCACAGAGGGCTGCAGAATTTATACAGGTAAAAAACTTCAAATTTAAATGTTTTGATAAAACTGAGTGTACCCTCATCCTCTTCCACATCGGGCTCGGCGGGTTTGTCCTCGGGTGGGGGGGTGAAGTTGTAGTCGATGCCTTCATGCACCCAGCCTTTCTCGATGTACAGACCGGGAACCACGTCAGAGAAGAGCCAGTATCTGAACAAAGACACCCAGCAAGCAAGGTCACGATTACCTTCATACGTGTGCATATATTATACAAATCGCATTCATCCGTGTTATCATCCGTGGTGTGGAGCACTGACCGGTTATGATTTCTGTCGGTTCCCAGTGGGATCCGGCGCAGGACAAGTTTGGCTTTGGTTATACCTTCCTGAAAGGCCTTTTCTACAGCCACCCTCTGTCTACGCATTCGCTCCTCTTCAGCCCCCTTCTCCATGCGCTCTGTGGAGAAACACAAACACTAATGAGACCGAGGTGCACGAAACCAAAGAACTATACAGAAACGCACAGTAGGCTGTCGGCTCTAAATGGAACGCATTCACAAGATCTCAGGGGTGGAAAGAAAAAATACTGGGAATCAAATGTAAACTTGCGTGTTGCACAATCAGAACAAAGTACGTTGCACATACAATTTCTCTTATCAGGATGGTGTTAAACAATAAGCATGAAGAGACAACAGTGTACACAAGTACAAATAAAACAGGTAGAATATAACAAATCGTACCTGTGCTATTAGGCTCGTCAGTTAACCAATGGCACATTTTGAAATGGAGAACCGCTCAACTCATTTACCTTTGTTCTGTCGATCCATCTCCTCTCGGTCCTTCTTGGCCTGCATGGCCATCAGCCGCCGGCTCTTCACGGAGCTGATCATGTCCTCTGACTCAGCTTCTGGCTCTACCGTTTCTTCTTTTTTGATCTCCTTCTTGGTAGGCACCTCCTTCTTTTTATCGCCTTTGAGCCCAAAGGAAAAAGAAAAGTAAATAAAAGACATCGCACTGTTTCCATTGATTGACATTAAAAACAGCAGGAGGAGCTCTGCGGTTCACCAAGTGCCTACCTTTGCCCTCCTTTTGCATCTGCTTCTCGGCCCTCTTGCGGTCGTTGACCTCTTTCAGCATCGCCAGACGCTCCTTCCACACCTCGGCCGAGCGCTGCTGCATCGCGTCGACGTGGTCTTCCACCGAGTAGGTCATGAGTATGCGGTGGCACAGCGCCACCAGCAGGCTGACCTTCTCCTCGGGGCTCAGCTCAAACACCTCGATGGTCTCCAGCTTCTCCAGGAACTCGCTGGTCACCACGTCGTCGAAGCCGGCCAAAGCGCCCGACTGCACCGAGCCCTGGTTGCTCTCCTCCCCGTGGGCGTCGCACGGCCGCAGGCACAGCCGCGCCAGCTCCGACACGGAGTGCATGGTGAGGGGGATCTCGGACAGGGGGATGTCCAGCTCGCTGTAGCCCTCCGCCAGCTCGTCCTGCAGCAGCGTCTGAAGCAGCACCACCAGCACGCGGTTCAGGTAGAGGAAGCCGGAGCCCTCGCCCGCCAGCGCCTCCATCAGAGCCACCGTCGTGATGGGATACTGGTCCTCGGGCATCAGCAGCCCGGCGTAGCACTGAAGGAAGTCCACCACCATGGCCACGTCCCCAAACAGGGTGTTGGGCAACCCATCGGGCATGTCGACGAGCTTGAACGCCGGCAGAGTCTTGCCCCCTTCGATCTCCTGGTCCTCGTACCTGCGCGACTGCTCGCGGCGGACCAGCATCTCCTTCTTGCGTCTCTCCTTGGCCCTTTCCCGCAGCTTCTCTCGGACTTCCTTGCGCTTCTTCTTGATCTCTTCCTGCCTTTCCTCCTCGCTCATGGCCGCCCAGCGCTTCTTCTGCTCCAGCAGCTCCCAGCGCTTCTGCACCAGCTCCTTGAGCTCCTCCGGCAGCCGGTCGCGCTCTTTTGGGGGCAAGGTCTTGGCCGTTTTGGAGATGAGGGCGGAGAGGGAGTTCTTTTTGTCCTCTTTGCCCTTGTGCTCCTTGTAGTAACGGAGGAGGTGGAGCGCCATGGGGTGCCGTGGCTTCCCCAGCTTAGGTGTGCCCATGCCGGTACTACGGGCTCTCTTCTTAGGGCTCCCAGCAGGGGTGCTCTTAGCCAGGTGCAGCAGGGTCATCTGCTTCATCTTCGGTGTCTTGGCGCCGGCTTTACCGTCCTTTTTAAAGGCTTCGAGGACGTTGAGCTTCTTGTCGCCGCTCTTTCCAGTTCTCTTTCCATCTTTCTTGTCCCCGGACTTCTTGCTTGATTTCGGAGTGGAGGCGGACGAGCCTTTGCCTTCTCCTTTCTTTGGAGTTCCAGAGTTCATCTTCAGAGGGGAGCCGTTTATTTTCTGTAATACAGACATGAGCCCATCAAGCAAAGCTTTTGACTTTACAAAAAAAGGACACCCCCCCCACCATAAAGTAATAACAGACACGACAGTGTACACTAAAGTCAGTTTACCTGCATGTGGCCCCATATGGTTGGACTAAGGGGCATGCCTAATGAGTCAGTCTTTCGTTTCCTTTTCTTGTCTCCTTTCTCGTGTCCCGATTCCTCTCCTGTTGTGTCAGGGTTCTTGAGCCTCTTGCTGGGTTTACCATCTGGAGATGTCAAGCTCTTACGCTTGGCAGAGGGATTCTCTGCTAAGAACTTCAGACAGAAAAAGAAAGTGTGAAACAAGAACAAGCAGCACCTTGAAAATAGTCTAATGTAGGAAGAGAAATGACTAAATTACCTTGTGTGGATCAAGAAGAAAGTCACTGAATTTGCTGGGCAAGTTAAATTTTTTCACTAGTTCATCTTCAACCACCCAGGGAGCGCTCTCGCCCATGCCCACCCTCAAAGCATAGTGCCTGATGAAGTAGCGCATTATCTCCTTGGTCGGAGGGCGCTCCGTTCGGAAAAGGCTGTCTGACGGGACGTCACTGATCACCTGTGAGACAAGTTGTTTGGAAAGATTCAGTGAAAACTTCTTACAAAAATCAAAACTCGTTCTGATCCGGGATCGGTTTAGACGGCCCCGTTGGCCACAGGATACACACCTTGTCCTCGGAGATGAGCTTCACGTCGTACTTGTGGGGAAGAAATTTGGGCATCACCCATCTCCTCCGCTCTTCCTTCATGGCAGTGGGAAGTTTCCTCGGCGAACGACGTGATCGGTCACCTGATTCGTAGATAAAACAGCGTCACGTACGCGTTTAACGTTTGGAGGAAAAATGAATACACGTTTTGGATAATCAAAAGGAACGTACTGATCGTGGTCAATCATAGCACATGTTATCTCATAATCATGGTGCACGACTACAACATTACAGCCATCAAAAGGGTTTTCTCTGTTTATGCACCGAGTGGTACTCACTGAGACTCTCTCTCCTGTTCTCCTCTTCTCTGGAAGGAGGTTCTTTCCTCTGGTTCTCCTGACTTGCATTCTCCTTGTCGCTGGACGGCGAGTCACAGACACCTTCAAGCTTCTTCTCCCCCGACTCACCTTCTGGAGTTTCGAGGGGATGGATCTTCACCACCTTCACTTGCAAACTTTTGTCCTTCCCCACCTGAAGTGACAAGGCCTTGTGAGAACTTCAGAATAGATCAAGATGGTTTTCATTTAAACCCATGCTGGATGGACGCGTAGCACATATGAGTCACATTAGTGCAGTCATTTTAAAACTAATTAGTTTTAATTTGATTATATTTTCTTAAGCCGAAGACAATTGACGAGGAAGAACGTTTATGTGAACATGGTCAGCTAAATTCTTAATTTGCTGGTAAGAAAATGCAAAATAATTTCCATAGTACTGTAAAGACAGTAATTACAGGAATAATTTGTAACTGAATGTGTCAAATAAAGTCTTGAAGGAGATTAAAATACAAAAGAAATGTAACAGGTCAAACTGACCAGGAAGTCACACTCTTCATCCACAGCATACTTGGTGAGGATTTCCAGCCAGGCCATTTCAACCAGCTTGTCTAAAGACACCGTGTTGTGGTGGACCATCTCCAGGACTGGTTTCTCAAACCACTGAGGATACTCCTCCTGAAGCCTGCACACAGAGAATAGTCAGCGAAGTGGAAACGAGTTTGAACAACATATGATAAATAATTGCAGTTTGTATTTCAGGGAGTGAGACACTATTTTGGACAAGATTCATTTAACTTTGTTTTGGATTTCTGCAATGGATTCGTCACTGGGATGAGCGAGTTACATAAGCAGGAATACTGAGGGCTGAGAGTGACCAGTAGAGGGAGTCTCATCTCCTGGCTGATATAATTAGACAGAGCTTAAATACAGCCGGTGATCTGCAGGGACTTGAGCTCTGGGCAACAGACAGACGCTTACTGTGCGGTATCCATGGCGACATAGATACATGGCTTAGTTGACAGCGCATACACATACCTCACCTGGTTTGTAATGAGTGGACTGAAAGACAAGCTGAACTATTTTACATGTGATATGGCCGGTTCTTGTCTTTTGCAGATGAGGAAACTATCACCAGGCCGTTGCAGATTCAAAGATGACTCAACCACAACTTCCAAATAGAAAGAGGAGGAGCACCGGCTTTATTCAGTCATAGCAAAGACGCAAACTTGTGACTGTCACTGGGAGATTACGGCTCTTTCGCGATACTACCGAGCTGCTGTCATGCACACAATTAGGCTTTGAGGGCGTCAAAAACTACCCGTGGACCATCCATTTAGAAAATAATGAGAACATAAGGACGAATTGGACAATTGAGTATACAACACTGCCATCCACTGAACTGTGTATTCTTCACAGAACTCAATCGGCAGACAATCTGTACAGGCTTTAAACAGCAGATACAAATAGTGTCCAATTGCACAGGTTGTAAAGAATAGTTTCCATGCACACACAAACTGGACGTCATACTAACAGTTCGGTGACTTCTTGTTCCTCCTCCCATGCTTCTTTGTGCGTGAGTTGACCGCTTCCAGTGCTCTTGCATGTCCAGATGTGCTCACTATACCTCGACAAGCGTGCCTCATACTCTCTGTAGGCATTTGGTCAAAGAAATCACAAAAGTAGTATGAAGACAAAAATGGCCCGTCCGAAATATAAAAAGAGGCAGAGGTCAGGGGACAAAAACAGACATAACAAAAATAAATGCAGTTTTACTCACAACTAAAAACTGTACAAATACTGTAATTTAAGAATACAAAACTGTAAGTGGAGCAAGGAACGAATATTGATGGAAGAAGAGGGCTGGAAAGGAGTCCAAGCTACCTCATTATCGACAAGGTGGTCTGTGGAAATATTGAGTACATGTCTATGGGAAGCCAATGGGAGTAGAACGTTTGACTGTGACATCACCGATGACTGTAGACGGGATAGCATAGAGAGGTTCAAGCGAGGCCTGTACTTTACATCGTTGTTTCTAGGCAGTGATGACAAATGCCAAAGTTAAACCCGTAAATGGAAAACAGCCGAGTGAAGAAATTCCCCGGCGGAAATCCAAATACTAACTAACTTATGACAACTTCGGCCACCATTAAAAAAAAAAAGAAGCGTCAACGGTCATTTTCGCACTGCGTGCGTCACATTGGGTTCTCAATGAACGGTTTCATGATCTTGATGACAGTTTAGGAAAGTTTTAACAGACACAAAGAAAGTAACTTCACGTTTACAGAACATCCAAGCTATCCAGCCAACTAAATAAACCAATTATAATGGACAACTACTGTACTCTTGTCTAACTAAAAAAAACGCACCGGTAGCTAAAGGCTAGCCCGCTTACCGAGGCTAACGTTAGGAGCTAACTCTTTCCAGCCGAGCAACATCCTCAGCCTGTGAGGGAAGACGACGGGCTATTGTGACATAATGAGATACCTAATGCTAGCAGTGTGCTAGCTAACCGTGATAGCATTGGTAGCTGACAGCGGGGCAGTGGAAGGTGAAAGTGAAAGGACGTCTATATCAGTATTCTAGCATTTAACTAAAACGTGTATATTTTCCGACGTGCCGCACACACATTTGTTTCGCTAGCTTGGCGAACTAGCCAGCTAACGTAACGTAGCCGCGGGGACAGATTAGCAGAGCCGTGTGGACGTTAGCTCGCTAGCTAGCCTGTCATTAGTGGAACGCTACACAGTGCAACCTACATGCGGGTAAACATTACGTGGGGAAACGTCAGGTAACATTAAATAAGTTATATGTGCCAGCGCTCTGGTCGTTCGCATGTGGCTATATGGGCATCGCTTTAACAATGTAGACAAAGTCACTTATATACCACGCCGGTGTCTCAGTAAGTCGAGGCCGAGCATCATCATGTTAAAGGATACTCTTTGTTCCTGAAGGCCTCCTTGGTGTGCTCGATGATGTAGACCTCATCTCCCGGGCCTGGTGGCTCGGCTAGCGGCTTAGCCAGTGGATACGGTTTCCGGCCTAAAAGCGGTGCCATTTGAAAATCCACAGATGGCACGGGCGCCAATGGTAGAATTAAATCTTCAAGCAACAAACTAGTACAGAAGTATGCGACGATATGTCCTTAGCATGTATGCAGGTGTCCCGAAATGTCTTCTCTCGCGTGACGTTACCGCCGGCAGGCCCGGCTCCAACGTGTAGCAGCTAGCTAGCTGACTAGCTAACGTATACGGGTTGGAATGCTATATCGTTGCAAAACAATAACAGTGCGCCTCTTGCCGCTCGCCTCATCGCAATCCGTCTTCTCTTCTAAAGTAGCGGTGCCATGCTGGTTTCACGCAGTGTCTTCGGTGTAAACCAGGTTACCGGACTTGTCTCTCGCTTTAGTTCGTGAACTTTTAGCTCTTCCGGATGACCACGTAAGTACGACCCACGCCGAAATCAAACTCGCGGCAACCGCCAAAGCTCCGTTCAGACGGGAGGTATGGCGCGTGGAGGATCCAAAGTCTTTTCAAACTAGGCCTGTTCTCGCTTGATCAGTTGTATTCCCGGCGTCTTCGTACTACTGGTTAGTCTTGTTATCAGTTAATAGTATTACAAAGTGTTACAAAAAAGTAACCTGGATCAATCAAGAGGTTAATTCCTTGTCGAAATGGCGGGAGTTTCTAGTCCACCGGCACAATTGCGTCCGCGGTCGGAACTCCCGTTTCCCCGGCAGCAAGCCGCGTCGCGAGAAGGTCCCGCCCTCTCTCGGCGTTCATTGGCTCCATCGGTCAAGCGCCTTCACGGAGTCGCTCCGTAACCCTCTCTCATTCGCTGACAGGACCTGTCTTTTGTCACACTAGAATATCCCCTTCAAATAAACCACGCCCGCATCGAATATAGACGAGAAGCTCGAGGTCAGCTGATGACAGTAAAGATTATATGATCTGGTTTACTCATTAATACAAAGATACGTTTTAACTATGTGTGTTTTGTAACTGTGTTAAGTTAACTGTGAATAAATTTCCTCTTTAATTATTGATTTCATTTCTGAATCCATTGTCTGGTCTCCATTTTGAACAGGTCTGATTAAACAATAGGCCCTGCCTTTTAATGTAGAAGATATAATGAGTAACGATCGAAGCATCGACTGCAGCCCCAATTAATTGCAATGGAATTAAAAAGTAGCATTTATTATGGTTTACAATGTCAGCAGTTACATTCATGGGCAAATTATGTTTTTAATATTTAAAAAAAAACATTTTCTTGCATATGACAAGCCAAAAAAGAAAATTGGTTCCAGAAAGTATGTGGTATTTAATAAAAAATGGCACATCTAAACATCAATTTGCATAAAGATACACATTTAATACCTTTTAAAATGGCCTGTAAACCTCAAAAATAGGACACATGCAAAAGTAAAGCTCAACTCCATTATGAGTAAATTATAAAAAGGTAGCCGAAAAACATGTACAGCATGTAAGTTGAAATACACTGCCTGCAACAGCAGTGACTCGCCACACAAAGTTGCCGTAAAAATTCCCCGACATTTGTTTTTCAAAGTTGAGCTAATCTGATTGAGGACAGGGATTTTATGCATTTTGACAAAATTATTATAAATGAGCTATCTCATAACAGCATTTTCTCCTGAGCAAATCTTCTTTAAAGGGGGCGCTCCTGATTCCTCCAATTCCTCCTGTTGAATAAATAGGGGCGCAATGTTACTCAAATGGTCACATACATTTTGTACCATCCTACGGACCCCAAAGATAGGGAATTTATTATGCATTTCATTCATGTTTCATCAGGGAAAATGGTTCGGTTATCCTTCGACCCGTCAACCTGTGTGTCTGGGGTGCTCTGTCGAACAGCTCCCGATGAGAGCAGATCCTCTTTGGTGAGGGTGGGAGGCTCATCAGCCCCCTCCTGGCCTAAATGAACTGGCTCTGCATTCACAAAGAAAGGTGGAAACACGTACCCATCAATGCAGCACTCAGCTCCAGGGGGCCCATGTTATACTCAAATACGGTATCTGACGTTTGAACAAAAAAAGAATTGAGTAGAAGTATACCATCCACACTCTCGTGGCCCAGCATCGGGGGCTGGGAGTCCTCAGTCCGGAGGCCTGAGGTGTGAGGAGGGCTGACCTGCTGCGAGCTGGAGGTGCTGCTGCTGTTATCCATTTTGGGCTGGTAAACGTCCGACAGAAAGCTCTGGTTGCTGTTTTCATCTGGGGGAATGCATCGTTTTCTTTTACGTGTTTTGTCATGTGATATTTGGGCTTTTCAATACACTACGGGACGGCTCCATTATTCTATTAAATACTGAACTCACCAGTGAAATCCAGTAAAGAGTTAGCATTTTCCAGCACCACATCCTTCATTCCTCTAACGTCTCCACCTGTGGATTTGGTGCGATATATCTGATAAAAAGAAAGAAAGAAAGAGGCGATGTAAAATCAGGCTACTGACGCAACCACGCACGTTAAAAGAACAAAAAAAACCATAAACGCGGTCGTGTTTTTACGTGGCAGAGGCCCCCACCTGCTTGGTTTCTGTTACTGGCACCCACTTGAATATGCGTAAGGATGTGTCTCCAACAGTCACCCATTTCTTCTCCCTGTTAATGAAACGAGTTGGGATTTATTAGTATGTTCTCGCAATGAGCTCAACGCGGGTCCGACACCACACCGTCTGCGTCGGTAGCATCAATCCGTAACACGGGGCTACATGCTCGTGCCCCTTTTTCTGCCCACCGTTACGCTCCGTTACGCTCACTTACATCCGTCGTTTGCTCTAGACGGGCGTGTAAAACACCCCGAGAGGACAGATGTCCGACGGTGCTCATCGATGCTGCTGTTATGTGACTACGGGACGGCCGTTACATTACGGCGGCATGTGAGGCTGTGGCCATATTGACAGCTCTCGGCGGAAAAAAAGAGAAAAAAAACTCGCGTTAGCCCCGCCTTCACTGTCAAGCTCGGGCATTGATTGGTCAAAAGCGCCGTCAATCATCTAACTTTTCCGACTGAAGTTTGTTGAGCGTCGCAGCAGATATCAGGCTACAGTCACTAATACATTTCCCTCCATATTGTACCCCGGGCACCTTACGTACCATTTGCGCACCTTCTCGATGGCAGCCAGGACCTTTTTAATGTCATCTTTAGCCCGACTTCGGGTCTCAGCGCGGCCTGTTCGTCCCGACATCTTGATGCTGTTATGATTCATCTACAGATGCATCTGAAAACTTCCAGACCAAGCCCCAGTCCTCCGTTACAGTGGTAATCTCGCGAGATTTCATCGTCTCATTTTCCTTGGTTGCTTTTTTTTGGTTGCTTATCTTACCTTAGAATCCTGCTGATAAAGTATTTACTATAATGAAAGGGTTTGCACATTTGGTGTTGTTTATTTATTCATACGGGTTGGAAGTTCCTATTCACAATGCATAATTTCATGTACTTTTGAAGTACGTTTACTTTCCTTGATTATTTTCATTATATGCAACTGTAATCTAAGATGTCAATACATTTCAGCAATATTTTCCCGGAACTGAGCGGCAGGGACACAAACCCCCAGAAGCCCAGAATTTTTCAGCCTTTACTTAATGCACTTTACATTTCTTTAGCCTATTATCTTGGGTTTGTTTTTTTTGTTTTACATCAAGTCCCAGGGAAACAAAATATTCGTTGTCTGTGTAAATCTATATCTATAAAGATAGATAACAAAAAGTTTCATAATGTGTCTAAATTGTATTTTTAGTCCAAAAGAATGATGTGACAGGTCATGTGTAGTTCACTATCCAGATAACGATTCTATGAAAGCTTAGTTAAAGATAAAGCAAGTGGAACCCGACCTTTTTATCTTGTAGCCATCAACAAAGCAAACACCCCCCTCTTCCCATAGTAGATGTTTTGCAAAGATTGGTACAGAAGAATGATTTCTGTTCTGGACTTTTCAGATGGCTTCATTAAGATAATGGTCTGAGGCCTAAAAAGCAACAAAATCTTATCCCAGAAAGCAAAGATTGAGAATATTCCCAAATTTGACCACATTTTAGTTGCAGATCTAAAACATGTACTACTCCAATAATCATCTAACGGCCACTCATATTTATCTTGTGACTCTGACGGGCCTAATCCCCAGGTTGGGATCAAGTGCCCTATACCCATTTTAAAACCCGCTCCATCTCAGCTTCAGCTGTTAAACTCTTCTTATGCAGTAATGCATGAGTATTACAAATCAAATATGGTAATGACTAGGCCTACTTTTTATACTTATAGTAGGCCTACATTATTTGAATTATAATTTTGTACGTTTACCAAAGTGGGATTTTAAATGCACAACATTTACTTATAGTGAAGTATTTTTACATTGTGGTCCTGGTACTTTTACTTAAGGATCTAATTTTAATGTTTAATGTAAACATCCAGCTGCCTTTTCTTGACATAATAGATATTTCTGCTTTTCATGTATTTTTTGTAGATGCAAAACACAGGACCTTACTAGTATGTCCATGAACAGACAAATCTCTGTGAAATGTGGACTATGGTTTTGACTTCTAGTTCCCATCAGTGACCAGCAGACGGTGGCCTTGAGTTGTGCCGAGCAAACATTCTTCCATGCCTGAGAGCAAAGGTTGAACCTGTTGCATTGGGATGATCACTGACAGAAAATCACTCACTGTTTACCTATATCTTACCTAGAATAGAAGAGAAGGGTCATCTTTTTTTAACCAGCTAGCCTATTACCAAACTGATTGCCGTCCTTTATGGATTTCTCCCAAGTTTATCCCCAAAGAGGGTTTTTTGGAAGTTTTTTCTCCTGTCAGGTAAATGAACAACTTAATGCAAGACAGCCGATTGAGGCAAATGTCTTGAGAATTGGACCACATGAACAGTCTTAGATCTTATGATGAAGTGTGATGAACGGTGATCATTAATGATGTGTTGTAATTAAGGTGTACTAGTTATAAGATGAAGACTTAAACTATGTATGCTTTGTTATATTCACTCATTGAGGCATAAAGCCAAATGTATCTACATTGAATGTGTTGGAATGTGAGGGACAGATAGTACAGAGAGGTTTCAGGTTACAATTGCAGCGTCACACCTCGATGTGAAGGGGACAATCCAGGAGGAGACACTCTGAAGAAGAAGCCAATGACATTCAAATGCATCAAAGAAGACACACCTCAAGAGTTTTCAAAGGACCAAAGCGGGGAAAGGACTGTTAGAATTTTCCTGCAGCCGCTTTGATAAGTCGCTTTAGACTTGCTCAGAGAATTCTCTATTTCGCGAAATATTTCACTGTTCGCTTTGTATTTCACTTTGTAATTGTATTCCTTATAACGTTGTTTAGTTATTAAATACTTTTTGATTTTTGAATTTAAGCTAGCTGACTCTTTTGATTCTTCGTTTCTGGCCGGGACGAGAACAAAGGAGTGAGGCCTCCCTCGAGGGCTTTCCGAAACCCTAACAGACACCATGAGGGAATTCATTCCCTAATTTCCCTCAGAGCATATAGCATGAAGTACTGCATTGGCAGAGACAAGGAATTTGGGTCTTTTTAGCAAAATGTGATCGTCGTCATCGAACATGACAATGCATTCAAACCTTTAACGATTTTACTTTGCTCATGTGTTCTTATATATACAGTATATATATATATATATATATATATATATATATATATATATATATATATATATATATATATATACACCCCTAGTTCGTATTCATAAATTTGGAAAATCATAATGAAGATTATGATTAAAAAATATTGAATTCAATATATTTTTCTAATATTCTAATATATGATATTGTAAAACCAAAAGTATCTGATTTTTTGCAATATACGTAAAATGATACAGTGTTTTTTGGGGGGCAGAGGGGAGGGGGGCGTGTTTCTTTTGTCTAATGAGAGGGGCGGGACCAGAGTGGCTGCACATCAGTGGGGAGGAGCCAGAGAAAAATCCCCAAACCAGCGACAATCATCAGCATGCAGCTGAATAGTCTCCTCATACCCTTCAGCTAAAGCTTGTACGTTTGTGTTCTTTTCCTACAAGCTTCTAGATGAAATTCCTCATGCACCATATTGACATTTGGACAGTGATAATGTGAACTAGAAATAATGCAAAATGTCACCCGTTCTTTTTGGTTACACTCCCAGCACCTAAGTGGCAGTAAATTATGACAATAACATATTAAACATGACTCCATATTATTCTTACTCTATTTCAATCAGACATTTTTTTCACGTTTACAGACAAACATTGAATAATTGCAGACCGTAAACCGCCCGGGAGCTTTATTTTGAAAAGCGGAAGTGTCGTCGCCCTCCAGCCCGCGCTCGCTTCACGCTCGTGCGGTTCGGACCGCTCCTGTCACCAGAGGCCAGATGACCCGACGGGGCGACGAGTCCAGCGCGGCGTGGACTGCTGCCCGCCATAGTTAGCGCGGCGTTTATTGCAAACAATTGCATTAAAGTCCAGCCTGTTTATCGGCTGAAACTTGTGTTTTTGTTTTCCCGCTGCTGTTGGAAAAATAAGGGGAAAAAAACGCGACAATGGATCGAGTGAAGAGCTCCATGCAGCAAGTACCCAACGCGATCCCCAAAGTGATCCGACGGACCACCGGAGGGGCCAACAGCTGGAGCTGGAGAAAGGAGACCTTCGAGCGAGGGCAGGTACGGTCGCATCGGGACTTCTTTTAATATATTTAGCGTAGTTATCCCAGAACGCGTGGGATGAGGATCCTGGCTCGCGCCGTGCGGGACACTCGCTGTCACCTCGTAAATTAAACCGTGTCCACTGGGAGATGTTTGACGTGAGGATCGGAGCTCAGGAACCACGGAGAGGAACCGACACACACGTTGTTAGGAACCGCTTCTGGACTCACCGTTCCCTTCATGGACGATCACCAGATGATGGGATGTGTTCCGCGTGTCGCGCCCCCTGCGATCAGCCAGAGATACGAACGAGTCCACGGTACAACATGAAGGGCTGTTGGAATGTAGGTCAAAGGCCTTTTAAAAAAACAATTGAGATAACTGAGTCTCATCCGCAGCACAGAGTGGAGCTGTGTGGAGACACACGTATGACAGGCGGTCAGTGCCCTCTGGAGGCCTCGAGGCAGGAGATCAAGATGGAAGGATGAAATCCAAATTGGATACATGCAGTGATTTCTCTTTGTTTATTTTTATGTTTCTCTCATGGTCTCTGATGAATGTTTTTCCATGAAGTGCTTTCCCAGTGGCCATACTGTATGTATGTATGTATGTATGTATGTATGTATGCTGTGGTCATGCAGTGGAGGCTGCTGCTTCCTGCCCTGGTGGTCTCCCCCCTTCCCTCTCCCCCAAGAGCAGGCACAAGGGAGGGAAAGCGGGCGAAAAGTAGGTCAGATCGCGACGGCACAAACCGCCACGACGTGGCTCCTTCTCCCGTGTTATACGGCGGGCTGCTCAAATTGGACAGTTCCGCATTTGTCATCTCGCCCGCGTCCGGATGGTTGTTCATCCTTTCCCTCGGTCCCATCTGGGACATTAGCAGCGAGGATTAGAGGCCGGGAGGGACGCGTGCGTGGCTTTAAGTGTCCCGAGCCTGGTCACTAGGTCACTGTCATGCTCCTGAGACTCCCCCCCCCCCCACACCCACACACCCCTCTGGAAGTGTGTCAGGGCGGAGTGGTCTCCAGGGTCACAGCGTAATCTGCGGGGGAATGAGCAGGAATCAAGCTATTATTTAAGATCCTTTTTAAATCAAGCGCGTTGATCAGTTCCCTGCTGCCGTTGTGAAGCGATAAATCAATGCTCCAACACGTCCACCCTCTTTGTTGTTGCCAATGGTGCCAATTGTGTAATGCTGGGGCATGTAATTGAGTCACTGATTTTTTTACCGTGTGTTGTTTGACTTTATTTTCCCGCGAGGTTGATTTTTGACTGGGGGATCCACAGCCGTGCAGGAATCAATGAATCTGCGGTCTACTTTTCAGGGGATCAGCAAGAGATAATCTCATCTGATCTGTTGCGCTCCAAAGCTGCGTAAATCTGCTGGGTGGCTGCTTTTCACCTCCTGTCTGTCTGCGTATCTGTCTGTCACCTCCCCGCGCTCTGGTTTCAGACATAAAGCCGAGGGAATGCCAACACGTTTACGTCAATAAGCCCGTATTAAGTAGGAAGTTCCTCCACACAACAACATCCAAAACTTTTTCATCGTCGTTGAAGTTTGTTGCCATCGATATTTCTGAGATGTTTTCCCCAGTTACCTGCATGTGAACATGTGCAGCGTGCACTCAAGACCACTAAAGCCAAAGTAGAGTGAAACGCGTATTCTGAGAAGCGCTCGTCTGTCTCTGTTGAGTCGGGTAAACAACCGGGGCGTGTTCGAAATCCTCTCTGTCATACGTCCACACAGGGTTATAAAAAAACAGGGCCGGCGGACAGCACACGGCGCTTGTTTTTAATGACACGTTTTGCCTCGTAATAGCAGCCGACTCTTTAATTCAGTGTTTAGGGGAGATTTAGTCCTCGGGTTTGTCTCGAGCAAACGTAATTGGATGTTGTTGTTTTTTTTTCTATTGTGTCCTTAATAGCAGAAAGGAAACCAAAAAGTAAATCACAAGTTACTTCTAAACGCTTGAATGGATCGAGGTTCATCGAAAGGCCTCAGAATGTCAGAGATGCCTCATCAGAGCAAAACCGCCTCCCGGCTGCCGGCGGCCAGGAGAGGGTTTTTGTTTTTTTAAAGCGGGTGTAGGTGGTATTTTCTGCACACATATGAACCGTAATGAGGGCTTTTGGAAAACGTCTGGGGCACCAGTTCCTCAGATGGGACAGCGAGAGCCCTTCAGTGTCACCACATCGAATGTTCCATAATTACGACCTCAGAATTGGACTGCAGGCCGCCGGCCTCCTCCTTCCACCTCCTTCTTGTTTCTGCGTTTGAGTACGCGCGGGGTTTGCAGTTGGCGTAGCGACGCAAAATGCTCCCGTCTCATCTATATCTCAACGGTCCGTTTGGTCAAGGTCGCATCTGTTTTTCTTCCCCTCCAAGAAGCAGATGCGTGACTTTTTAACCCCTTTTAGAATAACATTAGTTTTCTATCTGTTCAATCATTTACCCAGTACTGCTTTCGTTCTTCACAGTTTATCCATAACTATTTCAATAGTTATCTTTTACTCCCACGGTACATTTTTTAATTACAATACACTTACTACTACCGGTAATTCATGACTTTTAAAACTAACTTTTTCAACCGCTCTGCTCGCCTACTGACTGAGTTTCCAGTGCAGCACTGCAGATGTACCCCTTGCTGGGAACCACGGTTGTACAGTATGTGTGGACACCCCGTTTGTACCCCGATCGCTGTGGAATTCAGGGGAGGAGCGGGGCCGTCGGGCACATGCAAGACTCAGCAGGGCCGACGTAGACGAGAGATATTGAATCAGTCCGTCTCTCTCGTGCTCTCTTACCCCTCCGTCTTTTGTCTTCGCCCATGTCGTTTTTCCCCTCCATTTGTCTCGAGTCTTCCTTCGGTCCCATTTTTCACATCCTGCATTCCAGAATGGAGGGAAGTCATGGACGGGATATCCGCGCACATGCAGCGCGCACACACACAGACAGAGACAAGTATGCAGGCATGAGAGCGAGACCATTAAAAGCACAGAGGCAGCAGAAACAGCAGGCGGCGGTTTGTGGCCTCGTTGCACTGACTGACTGTAGAATAATAGAGCTGGACGTGAGTGACGGGTCAGTAAGTGGAACAAAGTGCACCGATGAGTTCCTGGCGGCATTAACAATGGCTTTGGTTCTCAGGTTGTTTTCGGAGTCCTCGTCTGTGTTTCACGCCGCAGGAAAGGCAGGTAGGTCAAAGGTCAAAAGTCAGTCTGAAGCCCACATCGTCGCGGTAAGCGCGTGGTATGATAATTAGCCAGATTCAACGTGAGCGGCCTCATTTTAAATAGTCATCAAATGCAAGACAGTCCTAAGCCACGCAACAGTATATTATTCATTATTATAAGCTGCAGACTGCTGTTACGACATCGGGGTTCTATGTTGCAAATCACATTTTCTGCACTACATCTGGAGCTCCAGTTAGACGTCTGCATATTGTTGACATCAAGACTCCTCTCATATATTTGTTGCCTTTTAACAGACCTTGAGGAGGAACAAACGTCTCTGTTGCTTTAAAAACAAAGCATTTTAAACGGAGAGATGCTGACGATGCGACGACGCACTGTGAAGTTTTAAAGCTGTTTTGGGCGAGTGAGAAGCCACGCAGAGAACGAGTAGGACGGATGTATGTGAGAAATGTTCTGTGAGGCTGACCTCCCCCCTCCCCTCCCTCCCTCCACAACCCTCCCCCCACCCCCCAATGAAGGGCCCACGCCGTACCAGGAAGTGAAGAGACTTGCTGGAAAAGAGACGGCATTGTCTGGAGTCAGACGTTTATGTTGAGCGGTCCGGAGGTGTAGTGTGCTGCCCCGCCAGTGTAATGAGTAGCGTATTGATTATCGCGGCTGGCCCGGTCTCGGCCGATCAGCTGATGGGCTTTGACTGTATAGTGAATCCTGGATTTAGAAATGTAACCTGTGGGCATTTTTGTTTCTGATGAGATCCACATGCAGAGTTCTGATTGGATAGTCCACCTAAAACTATTGAATCGGTAACACAAGTATTGAATTGCTACTCCACGTGTATATGAAACAGTGCAAGAGCACTACTGCATATCACACATTACGTACTATATTTACATTAGTCAGTTTGTAGCAATCAGTGTTGCTGAACTGAAATGCATTTTTTAAAATCAGATTTTAGCATTTCGCAGGCTGTGCCCAATATATGCATGACCGAGCATGTGTTACAGCAACCCTGAGCTCTGGTGAGCATTTGTCCCAAGTGTCCGTCCACATCCTGTCTTTTTGCACATCCAAATCTAGAAAATATCCCTGGCGACATTCAGTGTATACTGCAAGGAACGGCATCCAGCAATTGTTATATGCAGGAGAAATAACTAATGGTGATGGTTCTAAAAGTCCCCCCTCAAGGAAAACAATGTCTCCAAGAGGCCCAAGAGGTGTCACCTCTCTGTCTGTGGCTGGGTCCACATTTACAGACACTCTATTAAACCAAATCGCTGAATAAATAAGTGTTTGGGGATTGTAATGACATTTGGAAACAAACCTGCAAGGATAAAACTCTCCTAGTTAGGTGGGATTTGTCAAGAAAAAAACAAAAACATTCAGCCATTAATGAATTCCTTTTTGTTATTTACACATATAAACCTCCTACATGTCGGAATGTCTTCTGCGGCAGCCGCATACCTTAAAACATCAAACACAAGCTCAACTCTGCATTGAAGAAAGAAGCCGCTGTTGGAGACTCTCAGAGAAACCAGATGGGGGCACCAGCCACCTAGAATTGCCCTCATGGTTGAAGTCAACCCCCCCCCTCCCCTTTCTTCTATGAAACTTGTTTCAAGGCTTTATTGCAAACACACCCGCAACAATGATGATTCACATCTAAAACCAACCGGGTCCAATGGATTTGAATATAAAAAGTGGAATATCCGCTTTCAGTCACTCTTGAGCGTTTGCAGGGTTTTCTTTCAAATTCTTGCTTTTAGTGGTTTATAACAACGGTGGTTGTGGCTACGGTCTTATATTGTGTTTTTATGGGCCACTGA